GACAAATACATGAGTATTAATTTGTAAGTATGAATGAAACAAATTACTATAGCTGCAGTATTTTCAAGTGCTTCTCAATCATCTGAAATTGATATTTCAATTTCAGAGAAAAAAAGCTTGAAAATATAAGAAGTCAGTTATGGTCTAGCAAGGATTTTTACAGAGAACAATATTCAGTCTACTGAGTACTCACACTGACAGAGTGGTGTCAGGCAAAAAAGAGACGGGTGTGCTACAACTTCTTCCATTTTGCAAAGAGCAGCTATGAGAACAGCCAGTACACAAAGCCACTTATTGTTCAAATCTTACACATTATAAATCCAAAGATAAATGAGTTTATGCAGCTACCCAAGTAACTGAATTAATGTGCATTCACTAAACATTCATTCCTTCCATTTAACTTCCCAGTATGGAATGGGACACTGACAGAAATATCTTAAGAAAAACAATTTAAATTCTTGTTTTCCTAATCTGCCCATTGATTATACTGGCAGCTGAACCAAACTCAGCCAAACTGAAGTCAAGATAAAGGCTATGTTGGAAGAAAAAAAAAAAAGCCAAGACGACTGAAATTATTCTCCAAATTTACAGACAGGTGGTAAAAGTTTATAAAAAAACATTTGAAAGAAAGATTATTGCAGAATAAAAGGGGACCAAAATATTGTAGGACTAATTTAAGATCATCTTAACTGATATCTCGTTTTCTTCACCACTTACTATTAAGGAGAATCCTATTTACAAATACTATGCAACCAAATTTCTTTCAAGAAAGATTCAAGAACTACAATGTTATGAAGTAGAAGGGGAAACGGAAAGCTGACTGGACTAAATCATGTTCACCTTTGATGAACCCCTTTCCAGTAATATGTTACAGTCCTTTGGGTATATTCTTAAGAAACATATTTGGATCCACTCTGTTAAGCCAGATTTCCAGAAAAGAGATTAGAAATACAAACAGACCAAAACAAAAAGTCTAGTTAATTTGCTAATTATGCTTTGCAACAGGGGACAGAATCTCTTGAGAAGCCCCTGAAATATTTTAAGTAATTTCCTTAAAAAAAAAATTCTCTCAACTGATTCCAAACAGCTTGCAGAGCTTGGATGGGTTTCTCAGAAAGTTTGGGGGAAAAACAAAACAAAAAACATAGAAACACCACAAAATCTTGGCTGCCAATAATAAGAACAAAGACGTACAACATCAGTTGTTCATCAAGTCCTGACTATTGATTCAGTATCTTCAGGGAACTGTTCAGGGCACAGCAAGTTCAAGCCCATCGGGAGGCCCCTATTGTGTAGGTGTTTGTTTCTACTTCTCCACACATCATTCAACTCTGTGTTGTACATTCAGAACTGAACAGGTTTGGGGACGACAGAGATTTCAAACTGGCTGTATCAGGGATGCAAGACTGGGGAGACAGAGGAGATAGGTATAAGGAGACTGAGAAAAGACAATCATAGTTAGGGCCCTACCAAATTCATGGCCAGGTCCCTCTCCCATGAAATCTGGTCTCTCGTGTGCTTTTACCCTATGCTATACATATTTCATGAGGGAGACCGTTTCTCAAATTGGGGGTCTTGACCCAAAAGGGAGTCATGGGAGTCACTAGGTTATTTTAGGGGACAGGTTATTACTCCACTTAATCTGTAGCTTTCTTCAGAGCTGAACGGCTAGTGAGTAGCAGCTGTAGGCCGGGTGCCAAGCACTGAAAGCAGAGCCCTACCAGCGGCAGTGCTACCTTCAAAGCTGTGCTCCCAGCCAGCAGCCACCGTTCTCCAGTTGCTCAACCCTGAAAGCAGTGCTGTCGCCACCAGAAGCTGCGCACAAGTATGGGTAGCAGTATCAATCTTCCTTACAGTAAATTTCCGACCCTTCCCCCAACTCCCATGACTAAAATTGACCAAAATGGACTGAATTTGGTAGAGTTCTTATCATAAGGGATGCCAGTTGGAAACAGAGAGGAAGCCCTGTCAGAAGCAAAGAAGATCCATATTATTATTATTTATTTGCATTACCAATAGCACCAAAATGTTCTAGAGGTCTAGGACCCCACTGTGTTAGGTGCTATACAAATAGAGGTTCACTGATGTGAGCAACTCTAAATTCCTACCAAGAGAGTCTCAGGTTGCTCACACTCACTTCTAATATACAGTATGGAGGAGGAGTAAGGAAAGCAAGTGCAGAACTAATTGCCTCCCTGTGGAGGACTGATTTTAATTAGGACTGTGTCCTCCCCACCCCATCTCAACCTAGCAATTGTAGTCTGTCAGAACCAGCCTTGGTCTTGTAGTTTAGTGAAATTAAGACTATTTGGTTCCAAAATTGTCAGATCTTTTGTCTTTGATTATTAACAATAAAATCTTCAGCACGTAGTCTTTAAATCAGGGCTGCTTTCCTAAAAGGTGTGCCATAATAATGTTTACCAAAAAAGAACACTAATTCCCCCTGCAGAATGGTCAGACTAGATTAACAGATTTTACGACTGGGAGGCACTATTATATATTCATCTAATCTGACTTCCTGTATAATACTTCATAGAATCTCAACTGATAAGTTCTGCATTAAGTTTATAAACTTCTGTTTGAGCTATGGGACCACTTTTAGAAGATATCCAGCCTTGACTTAAATACTTCTAGTGATGAGAGTCCACCAATCACAAGGTAAATTATTCCAATGGTTAATTAAACTCACTACTAGTAATGTATGCTGTATTAATATACTGAATGGGTCCAGTTCCAGCTTTTAACCACTGTATTTCATCATGCTCTTTTCTATTATACTAAAAGAGCTGTTGATTACCAAATGTATCTTTGCCATGTATTATAGATAGTGACCAAATCATCCCTTAACCTGGACTTGAACCTCTGTCAAATCCAAATGCTTACTTAGACTGTTTTAAAATTTGCTATGCCACTTTGCCAATACTTATAGGTCTATAACATACAGAAACTCCAGGAATGTTTTACTAACGGCAGTATGAGTCCCTTCCATATGTCTGTAAGACTGAAATCAAAGAACACACCATTTTTCTTTGTACACATTCTACTTCCCTTGCCTAATATGGTTGTCTACAACAGATTCCCAATCAGTACCCCTCGTTTGGATTTATTAAACAGAAAGTTGATCCATAGCTATCCCAGGTCCTATCCCTGTGAACAGTCAATACATTTAAGGAAGGCAATAGTTTCTTTGATGTAGCATAACAATCCTGTTCCTCTACTGCCCATCTCTCTTTTCTAAAATGGAGTAATAGTAAAATCCTAGTCATGTGATTCAGCCCACCAAGTTTCAGTAATACTAATTACATCACATTTTCTTTTTCCTATATAATCATTTCTAAATCCTCCTCATGATTTCCCAGACTTTTCTCCTCTGTCACCCAGAAAAGTGGAATCCTTTCTATTGAAAAAGAGGTAGTTCAACTCATACTTCCTTTTTGTTTTCTATCAAAGATGAGCCAATGTTTCATAAAAACCAAACCATCAATGTCAGACCCTTTACCTAGCCAATAGTTTGCTTATAACATTTTCTATTGACTATCTGCTCTCAGGGTATGTCTACACTGCATTCCTCTTTCAAGAGAGGAATGCAAATACAGAGGAACAAAATTGCAAATGAAGCGCAGATTTGAATTTCCTGCGCTTCATTTGAATAATCGTGTCCAGGCGCTATTTCAAAACACCCTACTTCGAGAAGAGAAACACTGTCTAAACACGGTTATTTTGAAAGAAAGCCCTTCTTTCAAAATTACCCTTAAACCTCATTTTATAAGGAGTAAGGTTGAATGCTTCTGAACATGTTGAGTATCTCCCAGTTCTCTTCCCTCTGCTGGTCAAAAACTGTCCATACTCTCTCATTTCTCCTGTTTTGTGTGGTCACAAACTGCCCTCGAGAAGAGAAACACTGTCTAAACACGGTTATTTTGAAAGAAAGCCCTTCTTTCAAAATTACCCTTAAACCTCATTTTATAAGGAGTAAGGTTGAATGCTTCTGAACATGTTGAGTATCTCCCAGTTCTCTTCCCTCTGCTGGTCAAAAACTGTCCATACTCTCTCATTTCTCCTGTTTTGTGTGGTCACAAACTGCCCAGGCCCTCTTCTCAGTTTTGCACTCTTTTCTGTTCTGATTGGACTTGCAGTCACAATAGTGGGCTGTCTAAGAATTGTGTCTCTGATACTACAGAATCAACAGTTATTCTTCAAGATCACAAACACATGAGGAAAAAGTGGCTATTCTCTGTTGCAAACTCTTTTAAACCCCTGGTTACTTCTGTTCACCATACGAAATCACTTTACAACTGGTTTATATAGTAGGGATGTTAAATTTTGATTTATTAACTAATGGAGTAGTCAATGGAATTTCCATCCACTACTCAATTAGTCAATAAGGGGTGGGGTGGGACACTCGCTATCCCCCCCAGTAAGAACTGCTCGCAGAAAGCAGAACGGACTCAAGCAGTCCCCCCGCTGGGCCTCCACTTCTCTGCCTCCTCTCCCATGGAGGTGGTGCTGGGGAGAACTGGCTTTTAAGCCGGCTCCCTCTATCACCGGCTCCTGCATCCCCCCTTGCTGCATCTATCCTGCACCCCACCCTCCTTGTTGCCTCTATCAGAGAGAGGCAGTAAGCAGGGGGGTGGGGGAATGACTAGTCGAGTCAGTACTCAACTGTCCAATAAGCATATGCTTATCAGGTAGTCGACTAGTCCAGGGGTTCCTAATCTTTTTGATACTGGGGACAAGTAAACCCATTCACAAGCTTTTGGAGGTTTGGTAATATTTGCATATTTGCATATTCATTAAGCAAATGATGACTATGCAAATAAATTGTTTCTGGTCCTCTCAAAGTCCCCAGTGCCAACTTCAGCAAAGCTTTTGATACGGTCTCCCACATTATTCTTGCCAGCAAGTTAAAGAAGTATAGATTGGATAAATGGACTGTAAGATGGATATACTGTCGGGCCCAGGGTTTCCCAAACTTTATATAATTGGAACCC